CATGATACACACAAGTGACATGTTATGGGGATATATAGTACTACAAGCGGTATCTCAGGAAAGTGGTTAAGTTACCTTTGCGAAACCATTTCCGTAAACATTGATGTTGATTGGCTGCTTAGAATCTGCGCAAATTTTCTGTTGATTAAGAAAAAGTAGGAAAATTAAGGAGTTGTATGCAAGAGGATTTTGAAAACATTTTGTAATCTCTATGGATTTGCTTCAACGAACGCCATTTTTTCCTTTAACAGTCATTAATTTTTTAAATAAAACGAAGTAAGCTTGTCAACCCTAAAATACTTTGGGACTATTTGGGCGTGCGATCGACTTTTTATCTATCGATATTAAAGGACAAGCAAATACTACCACACGGACGATGTTATAAGTTAGAGAACGGTGGATCATCTTACTTGATTTCCTGAAATACTTCCCGCTTCGCAGAAATACAAGTTGGCATAAACCGAAGCGACAATGATAAACACAAGCTTCATGACCTCGACAGCTCTTGGATATTACCTGTAAAAAGTGATTTGAGAATGAAGCCGTAGACTGTAGGCTGATGATTCATACTATCTGTTTTGTTTACGTTTTTTAAGAAGTTTAGAAAAACAAGTATTTTTCAGCAAGAAATAATGCAATAACTCATGACGAGGCATTCATATATTATTCATATAACAGGACTTAAATTTCGTTCGTGTCTCAGAATTTTTTTTACATGGGTCTTCACTTTCAGCTACTTTCACCACCGATAACAACTGTTTCTTTAAGGTCCAAGCCTAAACTTGAAGTGTTATTAAGAAAGGCCTAGCCTTACTTTCGGTTTTCTTTTAGCAGGTACCAAAACTAGATTACACGGTCATTCTTCTTTTTTCCATGTACTAACTAAGATGATTCCTTAGGATAAAAGCATTTTGTAAAACTGAATATTTATTCTGTTTTAGTACAACGATTACTTTCTTCTTGTACGTTCACGGCCAACCTTTAATATTAATCGCAACAGTCATTATTGCATATTTTACACTCTATATTGTGACGACCCTGCGATTCAGTCCTTTGATCTTTTTCATTATAACGCAGATGAACCATGATCCAATTTACATATAACAAGAACACGCTTAAAGCGGCATTCAGGTCTCGCCTGCTTGGAGATTGGATCGAGAAATGAGGAGGCGATTAATACTACAAGAAACATGATTTACTCGCTAAAGGTTTTTTACTTCCTACTTTAATTATCGACGTCGATACTTTTTATTTGTTTCTGAATTGATTTAGAATGCGTGTTACCTACCCTTGATCACAATGCTGTAATTTTGGTTTCTATATATTAAACTGACAAGGTTATCATTTTCAAACATCAACGTTTGATTCTCCAGAATTGTCCAGATACGTAGATGTGGTGTATGAAAACGTGGAGGTGAATACGATACGGTTCGGACTTTAAATGTAAGAAGGATCGTAGATTTGAGAGATAGTAAAATATATTTTAACACTCGCTCATTATTCGTATCTTTTTCCTGTTTTCAACGTGTATGAAATTACATCAAAAAAGAGTTAAACTGTTCGTAAGATGTTTGACCGCAGTTGGCTTGGCTCGAGCACATTCACTGGGCATTTGTGAAGGTACAAGGGGTACCCCGCAAATGAAAAATCATTATTGTGATGAGAAAAAAGAGATAATCCTTTTTCCAATTTAAAAAGCTGTGGTCGAGGGATATATTAATAAGCATTTTGAAAATATTTTATAATAATAATAATTTGATACTTTAATTATCCTCTCCCCTTATAGGGCCTTTAAGGGATAGTGAAACAAGTAATTTAAATGGAACATTACATAACGTGGTTAAAAATCCCTACTTATGGCAGGCGAGCCAGTTGGCTATTTCCAAGCGTAGCCGATGATTTGAACTCGGGACTACCGAGAACAAATCCAGCTAGCGGTCAATGCAGGACTTAAACTCGGAGCCTCCGAATAGACCAGTTACGAATTAAAAATCACCGCTGAATACAAACATTAACGACACATTCATACAAAGTTAGCCTCGACATAAAGTTGAATATTTACAACTCCGGCAAGTAAGTGTTTGAAATTTGAAAATACACAATGGACAGATTAATAAACAGGTCTTCGTCGTTGGAATTTGTGAATGTATTTACTTCAGATGGAGGCAAAGCCTATAAAAAATGCGTCTTCACTTCTTTTGTTCAGACTTCTTCGGAGGGGCACGATATGCAGGTGCACCTGTTAGAAACAATTATAATATGAGAGAGAATGATTAAGTGATCTTTTTCACCATGGTCAATCGTCGAATTAGGAAGCGGAATGTCATAGATCCGATTGGCTGAAATTCAGGCTTTTTATGAATTGTCTGTGTTACTTAATTTGATCAATTCTGCTTTCTCATGTTTTCAATACCCTCAAAATAAGAAATATGAATGTATCTGTGGGGGGTTTTCTTCATTGCTTTTGGTTTGCTACTGTCATATTTCCTCTGCCTGGGTGAAACCGTAAAAAAAAAAGCCTAAATTTACTGGTTTGCGAGAGCGCTGGCGGCTAAAAGGTTTCCCCGGTCGTTTTCATCCCTTGCAAGGTTGGCGTTTTAGGGACTGTCCCCACTTGGTTCCCTGCAACCAGTGCCTGGGCAGCGGTACAAAATGGTGTTGTGTTCACAATTTGAGTACCCTATATGCAACTGTGTACGTAATTTCTCAACTTTCGCCATGTCAGACGCCATTTTGAAACATGAGCTTAACAGCGATAACAAAGCAATGGACTGCCCCGGAACTAACCAAAACGGTGTGCACACAGGGACACCAGTGCTTGACTTTTGTACTCGGGTACCAACACCGTGCCCGAATTCTTGCTTGGGTGCTTGTAAAAGGGGTGTGTTCACATTAGTGCCCAGCGAATACAGTAATCGGGCACCAAGTGGGAAGGCTGCCTTAGACTGAAGAAAGACGACGATAGTTATCGCTCTTCGTAGCTGAAGGTATTGAAGGTAGGAATTATTCTGTTTTCTGTAGAGTAATACTTCAGAAATACAACGATACAGGCGCAGACAGGTGGACTTGATCCAATTCTTATTTTTTGTTACAGCATTCCATAACTGCCGGCTAAATATCTGACCTTTACATTTGTCACCCTTCGTAACATCTCTTTAAGTATAATGCGTGCTGCACTGCCAGTCATCAGTACGTGTCGCAAATATAAATGTTTACAAGGCCGTAAACTACCTAAGTTAGGGAGCTATGGGTGTACGAAAGGAAATGAGGTCCATTCGACTAGGGAATGATACTTTTATTAACTTGAGATGCATGTTCCACACCAGCTGACTCGACCTTGACACTCGACATTGTGCTTTGAATATAATTTATAACAGTTTTGGTTTTTACTTCTTTGTCCCTTATCTCACCAGTCCACGAACAACCCTCACGTGGGCATTTGATCACCAGAGACAAAATTTTCCTTCCTGTCGCATTGTTAGGAAATACATCCTAAAGTACGGAACAAAACAAAATTAAAGAATAAGATTCCAATATATTATAGCATTGCTTTGAAGTGCTGAAATGCTTCTAAATTATTTTCAAGGAAATACGGGTGGTACTGGAACAAGATTTTTAGTCTATTTAACTGGAATTTTAATGTGAACACAACCTGTGAATTTTTTTCTTTTGGGGGGGGCGGGGCGGCCTTATCCTCTCCCCTGTTTGACTGAATGGTGCTCATTCGGCGGTATGGTTTGAACTATCTTTTTCCCTTACATAAGTGTCGATGTTGTCTATGACCTTTAAAACTGATGTTGTCACAAGCCCGAACAAGCGGTACAAGTCTTACAAGGGACATTTGTCCACACGGGCGGTTTAGACTTTGATGGGTTAAAATCTTATACCACTTTGGCTTTCAAAGCTCTTTTTTTAGGGACAACTTAACCCTTTTAGATTTATTTTGGGTGTAAATTCACTTTACTTGCCAACTTTAACCCCATTCACACCGGGCTTTTTGGGCTTCCTGGGACCGGGGATAGCTTTCGGAGGCCTTCCCATCTGTAACTTTAAAACTGCCCTAGATAAACCCTCCAAGTTAACACAATCCTGTACTCATCATTTCCAGCATCTAGGTATAATTTGATTGACACGTTGACGTAACGTGACCGCATTGTGGCGTTATATTGTCACCCGAAGCAATATTTTTTTCCTGTAAAAATAGGTATAAAGCAGGAAACGCTTAAAAAGGAACCTGTGTGATAAATAATGAAGTGACGTCATGGTGACGTCATTGATAAAAGCAGAAGGATCCATTCGCCATCTTGGATCTGCTTTCTCGAATTAAATAGTGTATTAATTTTCTTTCAGAACTTGAAAAATCGAGGTATTCATAATGTAAAATTTGACTTGTGTAGAAAAGAATGCTTACAAGCAAAATAGATCTACAGTAGCAAAATTCCAAGAGAAATAAACATTGTTGTAATATGAAACTCCGTTAATTGCTCAATATAAAATTAAAATGTTTCTCAAGTTAGCCCTTGAAAAGCTTGGATTAAATTAATTCCATAAACTAATGCTGAATAGACTTTTCAATCAGGAAATCTAGAACTAAAACGCTTTTTTACGTTAAAAAATTGCATATTTTTCTAAACATGGCTGTTAAAACTCGGTTGCCACGGTAACGTCAAAATTGACGTACATGTCACGAAGACCTTAAAATATTCCAGAAAATTTTCGGAAAAGTTGCTAAGTTTGGCGGTCAGAGCTTGAACTGTTGTGATGGTATACATCTTTAAAGTTGGAGGGCCTTGAAATCACCCCGCCGTGGTCTGAATAGGCCTAGGGTTGAAATAATAGACAAAAGAACGAATAGATAAATGAAACTGAATGATTTACCTTACCTTGGTCCAATCCTTTTCTATCTACAGGGCAAGTGTTTGGCTGATTCTTAACTTGTTGACTGTTTGTTGCAGTGAAAGAAGCAATTATAATAAAAAAAGGTATTTATAATAAATAAATGAGCAAATAGATGTGCAAAATTACTTATAAATGTATTAATTGCTGTCATTAGAGCCATTATGCGCAACCTGATATTATGAAAGTCTTGGTGTCTGTCTAAAGTGTCTTTAAACAATTCTGATTACAAACATGCACAGTGTGGTTTAAATTTTCGTTCAGACGGCATTAACTTTCTCAAAATTAGCTACTTGTACATGAGCTTTTTAGATGATGTAATGTCTTTGTTGCTCTTGCCTTGGCTACGTTTCATGCTCTCCAGGAAGGTGGCTTTGCCCCTGGTGACAAATAATGTTTCTTAAGGTAGCGGCCTGCAGTTTGGTTACGCCCCAGGCTATTATCTATCGTTATGAGCATGTTTGAGCAGTAAGTGCTCAAAAAGATAATAAGTCATCATTTCATATTTTTATTATTGGTTGGTACTTTTAAGTTGTTTGTGAAGATATTTCACCAAAACTATTCATTAAGTGTTCCAGTTTGCATTACTGCTCACATGTTTAAAACTGATCACATCGAAAATGAATTTTTAAAAAGTACGCTTAAAGTAATCGTAAATTACGCGTGAGGTTCTAGAAATGTCTACTTCGGCGAAGATATGGAGACAAATCAAGTCGATCAGATACTGGTGTTTTTTTAGCTGAGAAATTAAAAGGTTTTGCGTCGACAGTTCAAGCTTGATTAAACAAGAGGAGGTCAGGGACACCGGCTGGAAAACTGCCTGCCTTATTCTCTTTCTTTACTTTCTCGCCGGCAGTCAAAAATATATATCGCAAAATGACTAAAACAATCTTCTTTTTCGAGAATTTTCTTTACACTTAAAAGATCACAGAGAATACCGAATTATTTATTTATTTTTCATTTATTTATTTATTTTTTTGATATTGGTTGAAAGCCGAAAACCGAATGCTAAGAAAAAGGATCACCGCAAACCGCAAGAGATGAAACCAAAAAACGGCATATTTTCGATGCAAAAATGGCCACAAAACCGAAATTTGGAGATTCGCAGTGCCTACCTTTTGAGTCGCTAACACTTCATTTGAATTTTTATTGGAACACTTACGTTTAAATTTCTATTTTGGACCAAACTGAAAAGGCTGTAATGTTCATCTGTATTTCTTCTATTCATGTACAAAATACAGATCGATCCTCAGATTAAATAAGTCTAATATCGACAATAGCCACACAAACAGGGTTGGTCTGCCTGTGCTAAAGAGCAAGAACGTATCGGTATAGATTTTTCCCTTATTTTTTCCTCTATTAAAAATAAGGTTGAAAGCCGAGGTGACTGTGGTCTGCCTCAGTAACTGACGTTTAATTTTTCGTTACTCAAAACTATCAAGGTTTTTACTGAGACATGGCGCCGGAGTTCGTACTCCACTCTAATGTTGCAAATTTTCGAATGAAAGTTATTATTTTAATACTGTTGGGCTGAAAATACTTTACATTCTATTTCAATAGTATTGAGTCAGTAAGAGGCTTAAACAAAACCTGGATCGGGTTGATCCGATCTGTTTTCTTGAAGCCGGTCAGTAAGACGTACCTTCTCAAAAGTTCCTCGAGGCATGCATTAAAGAATCTGTGACCGCACCTTGTTTGAACAGGTTCCCTCAACGTCAATTTACAGATGAAACAAATTAAATCTTCCTCAACTTCATTGACAAACTCCTCGTCATAACCTGAAGATGACAACATGTTGTGTTGTGCTTCCGCCATATTGCAAATATGCTCGACTAGACTCTTTAGAAAGTAAAACCTATGAGGCCAAATTTATAAGATGATCTAAAATTTTTGCAGTGCGACTGCTCAAGCCAGGGCTCTTGGAAGAAGATTGCCCAATTACAATGTATATGTGCACTGAAAACAAAAGATTCTCAAGTTTTTTTTTGTCATCGGACCAATAAAATTCAAGGTTCAACTATGCAACTGTTGAAAACTTTAAAACCGTTTGACCTTACCTGATCTCTCAGCAAACAACCCTCAAATTTATGAACCTAAAAGGTCCGTTTGCGAAAAAACCTTGAGAATATCTTGTTTTGAGAAATGGTTGTGATTAGACAACCTTCTTCCATGTGCCCCGGTCCGAGTAGTCGCACTGTAATCGTCAGCTAGGTCTTCCAACCTTGAGAGCCCTTGAGAATATTATGTAAGGGTATGAGGGTGGGGAAAGAACAAACCCGGCTGCTTACTTCGACCTCCAATGTCAGTGAACTGGCCTACTAGATAGTATTTGACACGGACTTCTAGCCCGTAATCTCTAGATGACTGAAACTGTATCGGTTCATCAAATTTTAACTGTTAAACATTTTGGAAACTTTTACAATCTATCTTCAAGAGTGTAGTGAGTGGAATGTCACCTCATCTGCGGATGCTTATGAAGTTAGACACCATGATCTTTCCATTTGTATCCATAATAGTGACTTAATGCTAAAATATTAGTAAAAAAAAACGTTCTATTTTATTATAAGCCCTTAAATTGCCTATCATCGGTTACCTGCCCAAATTTCGATGAGACAGCAGTTGTATTTCCCCCCTCCAACTCCACACTTTTTTTCCCTTAATAACCTTTGTCTAAGTAACTTTAAACTAATTTGTATCTTCATGTTATTCGGTCGGATGAAGCCTATATGTATTAGTTTGCTATATGATTCCAGATAAACATGATCTTATCTTGCCCACCTTGCTGATGCAAAGTTCGCTCTCCCCAATCTTCTTCTACTTCAAGATTCAAAAATGGCAACTAGAATTTACACGGGAAATACTACGTTCTCGCTTACCCCAAACACTCTGTGGGCTATTTATTCATTGTTGAGTAAGGGAAAGCGAGTACTTCTTAGTTACATTGTTTTAACCAATCTCATCCCTCTCGGCCGCTCCCTCTCCTCCCCTCCCCCTCCCCCTCCCCCTCCCCACCCCGCACATCATTTTATGCTTATTCCACTTGAGAAGGTTTGGTATGGTTTAAGCAGTGGTTTTTAGGAAACCACTCCACCAAAGTTCTTTATTTCAAAATAAAAAGAAAGAAAAAGAATTCGGCGCATTCACTTTTAAGTGACACCATTCTTTTGGTCTTAGTTTCACTCAATGATCCACACACATTTAGCACCATCAGTGTTTTTATTTCAGCCTTAAAATATCCGTTACAGATGTCTCCTGCAAAAAAGCCCTTGCTACTTAATTCAACGAGCCGTACTGGCCTACATTATAATTTTGTATAAGGATATAATGACTAGAGCCCATTATTTAGAAACGTGATTGAACTAAACGTTTTTCTAATACTTGGAAATTTAGCACTTTTTACGGACAAAAATTGTTAAGGTAATGGTGCAGTTGCCACTAATCAAATTCTTAAATCAGATACGCGCCAAAGTAGGTATGAATGGAAGCCATATAAAGCTTGCAGTGAACAGCCGCCATAACGGTGATGATGTCACCTGCTTTCAGGTTGAAAACACCGGCAGCGTGTAAGGTAGCTTCCCCATTTGTTCCTGGGGTTTGAGTCATGGTCACCGATTTGCCATTCACATTAACATAGATCCTTCCGTTGCTGCGGAAGTAGGCGTGCAGGTAGATATTGTACCGTCCAGTGATTGGCACAATCAGTTTTCCATCATGGTACTTCATGCCGCCAACAAGATGGCTATTCGGGGCACTGAGAGACCAGTCTTTGATGACTAGAGGATAAAAAAAAAGTTATCTGAAATCTCAATCTTGGTATTTCCATTAACGTCCCCCTTCGCACTGTCATGTTTTAATCTATGGGTGCTGTTTATTGAGGTCTCCATTTCTCTTGATTACAATTTAATCTGTAATTTCAAAAATTAATCAGCCAATTTCAATATATTATTGGACAAATTGGTCACAGCCTGTTGCCCTTTTTTTTCCTTATGACGTGCATTTTCTATTTTCCAGTTTGCTCTTACCGCTCCATTTAACAATTGAATTATACAAGACCAATCCAAACATCCGTATTATAACACTGTTGTAATGTGTTATAACTCAGTTTATATTATTCCCGAACTTTTAAATTAGTGGATACTCATATTATGCAACTAATGATGGTACATTGACTATATGGGGATGGGAGCCTGGGTGTGGTAAGAAAGTTTGAATTTACTTTGACCGGCATGATAGGTCACAACTTGCAACGGCAAAGCTTCGATTTGAGCAGATGGCTTGTCTGTATCCTGTAATAAAGTAAAACAAAGAACAAGTATGAGTGGTGTGTTTAATTAGCCTTAGGCAATACTTGAGAGAGCTGAAATCCTGAAAAACTGTTCAATTTAATCTGTTGAAAAAAATCACTATCATAATGTTTTATTACCCTGGGAGCAGTGGTTTCTCTAGGCCGGACGCCTTGCTACAAAAGAGAAAGAGAAACCACTGCGAGCAGCCGTTTGCTTCTTTATCGAGCCACCGTCCATCCTGATGGACAAATAAATTACTTTTGAACAGGTAAAACCTGTTTGAAAACAAGTTAAGGCTCCCGCGCGTTTCCTTAGTATGTGTGATCAAATGGTGACGAGTGAAATTAGGGAATAATTTCACGCGCGTTTTGTCCAAATCCTAATAATTTATCCACTGACAAGTTACTAGTTTTCAAATAATCGCTGGTTCAAGTTGATTTTTTTAAAAATTCAACTGAAATGTATTGTGTTAATGTAACCATGGTCCCGCACTATTAAGATTTTGTTTTCAAACTGACCTCGGACGCGAAAATTCAGCCAGTTATTTAAAATTACAGGCGTGGGAGACCTTTTCTTACCATGGTTACGCTCTACGTCTCATTTTTATGCACTGATTGGTCAAAATTTGACAAGTGAGTTCATGTTTATGCAGCATCTTGAAACTTGTTTCAACGCCGAGTTTTGTGTCAACTTGTGATGTTTTTAACTGTCTTTTTCCACTGGATGTACAAAATGAGCTACAGCTGCTATCAAGAGTCTTCTGTTATTCATGTTTTTTGTTTTTTGGGTTTTTGGTTGAGAAATGCGTCGCTTGTCAAAGTTGGAAATCCGATTTTGGGTGGCATCGTTTTCGTTTTTCACATTGCTTGATGCATAATCTTGAGTGTTTAAAAGTCAAGCGACTCTGGCCTTACTTAAGCCTGAGTAATTATTGTATTTGATCTGTCTGTCTTTTTTATATCTAATTTCATGAAGTCGAGCACAGTTTATGCGGCAAGTTTATGCAAGTTTGTAAGATTTGAGACAATGATCTTACCTAGCATCAGGTTTGATATAATTAACTGAGCTTACAGAACTTTAAAAAGCCTTTGGATATATTTTCTCGCCCGTGAATAGAAAGAAAACGTTCCGAAAAATATTTAGTTATAAATTCGGCTGTAGAACCAAAACTTTGAGCGATTTCTGTAAATGTTTCACCGAATTATATATGATTTCTTTTATTGATTGTTCATGTTAGTAGTCTCTCGTGCAATTTTAATCGCTGTGCTGTTTGTTTTCAATCGTTCATGAACATCGCTTGCAGGAGTACTCAAAATCCGCACCTATCAAACGCTTTTTAAGATTATACATCGTTATAAAACCAATAAATAAAAAAATAAACTTAATAAATTCTTTATTATGTTGAAGGGTAATTTTATTAATGTTCATTCAAACACTGGACCACAGGTCGCTAATTTGGCGCTTGTCAAAAGTGAGAGCCCGCCGGCCGTATTGTTGATTTTGGAAATTTTTTGAACGGCTTCGCTAAAAGCCCACGATTGAACGCCCTGAATATTGACTGAGTGAAATTTGTCTTGAAAAATTGTGAAATACTGCATTCTGTCCGAGTATAAACTTTAAGGTTGGTTCACACAGCCCCAGATTTGTTGGCAAGATTTTGTAAAGTAAACTTGTCGAACGCAAAAAAATCGGCCTGATTTGTTTTCCAGGCCTAAACTACTGTGATCAAGAGCCATAATATGGCTCTTGAATGTGATCAAAGATTATAGCAATTTTTTGGGGTGGGAATAAGGCTATCAACTCGATGTAAGATGTTTCACTCCAAAATCACTTACAATAGTAGTTTCCTTTATAAGTCACATGAATGTGCCCTTAAGTTAACTGATTTGTTAATTACACGTTTATTGTTTGACTTAAATTATAAATTTATTAATGAGAGCTTCGCCTTTTATAGCCCTGGCTAAATCTATATATTATATTGTACGTGTTACCTCTTGACATCCGTTGTCGCGAACGTTGATGTTGATTGTTTTCTTAGAATCGGTGCAAATTGTCTGTTAAGAAGAAAAGGATAGTACGATTATTGTTGAATAAGTACTAGTAGCAATTATGTATACAAGGTGGAAAAACAATAGGACACGAAGTGTCCCCTACAAGACTTCAAAGGTTAAATCACCCACCCTTGTACGATGTACAGCAAAATTTTTCTCAACTCTCTACAACTGACTTGCCGTTAGACATTAAGCAGTGTAAACCAAACGATCTTTAACTATTTTAGCCCTTTTCAAAGTAAGTGATGTAGAAAGTTGAAAACAAAAAAGGACAGATCATCTTACATAACGTCCTGGAGTTTTGCCTGCTTGGCAGAAATACAAGTTGGCACAAACCAACGCGACAATCATAACCAAGAACTTCATGATCTTGACAGCTGTTAGATATTACCCCTGTGAAAAGTGATTAGAGAATGAAACGGACGGTGAACTTAAGATTCATGCTATCTGATTTTTTGATTGATTTTAAAGACGACTTGAAAAACAAGTATTGCCTCAGGGAACTGAATGCAGTGATGCGACGTGAATATCTTTCAACAGGCGTTTTAAAAGAAAATTGCGTTTTGATTCTTCTCTTTCACCGCCAATAAGAATTATTGATAAATTCAAGTCTAAACTAAAATTCCTGAAAAGTGCTCTTTAACACTGTCGGTTCAGTTCGTAGAGGTGCATGGAACTATGCCTCTTAATGTGCTGAGATCTGTAATTCCCGCTATCACTTATTCGTGGGGAAAGACAAGGGAAGTGGAAGTAGAAGGCGGAAGACGAGAGTTTTAAAAGAATGGGAAGCGGGGGAAATAACCGGAAAACGTAACAGTGCTTTGTAGTTCTCAAAGCTTTGTAGCTATTGCGTTAAAACTGGAAACATCATGAAAAATTTTTTTTCATAGTCAGTGCGCATGTGTTAAAACGGAGCCTATTAAAAACATTAATTTTTACGGCATCTCTTCTGTATGTTTATCTGTGCACCTTTTTTCTGTCTCTAACGCCAGCAACATGAAGAGCAATGCTAAACAACTGGCAAGCCGTGGTCGACAAAGGTAATATAAAATTTATAGATAAAAGCTGAGAATTCCTGATTTGCACGACTTAAACAGCTATAGACATGGTTCGGAGCTGCTTCTTTTACTCGAAACCTACTTACCTCAAATAACTTTTCAGGACGCGGTGTGTAATAATCAATCCAAAATGCTGGTGGTGCCAATAGCACGAACAAACTGAGTTATATCAAGTTTTCTCCGTCCTATTTATCTTGTTTAAGCCGAGTCGACTTCCTAGAACATGATTAACATCACAAAAAGTCAAATGAAGTAGAACTTCAATTAAGTTTCATAGACTACCGTTCTGCATCTTAGCCCCGCCAACATGATTACGGATATTTTTAGAGACGGATATTTTTACACGAATGGGCCTTCTTCCCACACGAAGTCAGTGACTCCGCTCACGTCACCGAAACCGCATCTAGTTTAAGCCGCTGTCCAAAGTGTTTTTTTAGTTTTATTATTTTTGATCTAACAGATTTGCGAATTCGTGAAGATGATTGAAACTAGTTATTTTCGAATTCAATTTTAATTACAATTAAAAGTGTGCGGTTTCCGCCGCCCAGATTGGCTAGTGGGGCCTCTAGTGAAACGTGACTGTTCTAAACTTTTGCATAGCATGATTTTGGAGTGGCATCTGTAGGGATGTTCCATATCATACAGAGGCAGGTAAAATTTAGAACGGATGTTCAAAACGTATGCCCAATAGCATATCCGTTCTGCATCATGGCATACAAGGCCGCAGAGAAATACGAAATTTGTCTTCTAGATTTCAGTGAAAATTTTTTTCACCCCGACAAGAGAAATTTCAAATCTCTAAGCGCTAGTGGCAATGTAATGTTTTATTTGTTACATATTTACCACCAGTGAAATTCGTGAAGATGATTGAAACTAGTTATTTTCGAATTCAATTTAAATTACAATTAAAAGTGTGCGGTTTCCGCCGCCCAGATTGGTTTAGACGGGGCCTTTTAGTGGGGCCTCTAGTGAAACGTGACGGATGTTCTAAACTTTTGCACAATAGCATAACTGCTCTACATCATAGTATGATTTTGGAGTGGCATCTATAGGGATGTTATAAATTTATGTACCATATCATACAAGTTTATTATGCAGTGGCAAGTATAATTTAGAGCGGATGTTCAAACGTATGCCCAATAGCGTATCCGTTCTGCGTCATGGCATACAAGGTTTTGAGAAGAGGATATTACACATGGCCGCAGAGAGATACGAAATTTGTCTTCTAGATTTAAGTAAAAATATTTTTCACCCCGAGAAGAGAAATTCCAAATCTCTAAGCGCTAGTGGCAATGTAATGTTTTATTTGTTATATAACCATCAGTGACATATCACAGCTAATTTTTTTCTCGCTAAAGACGCGATTTATTAGTAGCCGTAGAAAAGGTGATCTTTCAAGTGTTGAGGTAGCATGTTATTTTCACGCTTTAAGAAACTAAGAGAGAGCGCGAAAGCTCACCTGGTATTTCTTCGGTGTTTATACAATTATTTATCATATAGTGGCATGTATAGTTTAAACGGATGTTCTAAACTGAAGCACAATAAAACTTCCTTCGAACTGTTCTGCATCATAGCTATAGGCCTTTTATTATCTGATTAAACACGGCCGGCACGTATAATTTAAAACGGATGTTCTAAACTTTTGCACAATAATATAACCTTCGAACAATTCTGCATCTGGTTCCGCATGATAATTTGATTCAGGAGTGGCATCTATATGGATGTTCTTAACTTGTAACTTTGAACTGTTCTGCACTATAGCATATAGGTTTATTATACAATGGCATGTATACCTTAAAATGGGGATGTTCTTAACTTATGGGAAGTAGAATAACCTTAAAACTGTTCTGCATATCGCGCTCGGTTCCAAGCTTCCTCTTATAACTCGGATAGCGCGAACTGGCCTGGGTACGAGGCTGCATAAAAGCATGAGTTTAAGGATGGACTACCATGTACCTTTAAAACTGATCTTTCAAACCTACCGTAAACTGCCGCTTATATTCCTTGTCTTATAAATCTTCGTTAGGGGTTTTAGAATTTTATACGAGGGGGTTATAACTGGTGACTATAGTAAAAGCGCTTCGAAACAAGAAAATTAGCAGTGCTTATCAGTATACGTTCACTGTACGTTTTGCATTTATTGGTTTTTAAATAAGCTTCAAAACTTCATAATAAATAGGCGCATAAACATAACAACTTTCTTTAATTTACCAGACATGTTTCGACGGTACATCCGTCATCTTCAGTGTTACATATTTTGAAATAGCTCTGTATACAGATAGATGGGCCTTAATAACTGGGGGAATTTATAAGCGGCAGTTAACAGTACGCTCAAAAGCATATCAGTAGCCTTGGGAAAGTCCTACAGTGAATATTTCTTCAAAGCAATTAAAAAACCCATTACTTCATAAAGAAAAAAACAAAAGAAATTTTAAAAATGTTTAAGAAATTAATGAGAAATGATCTTTGGTGGGCTCTGGAAACCCCAGATACTCTAAACAAGCATTATCTTTGAGTCCTATTATATTGTTAGTAATAATTTAAACAATTGAAGATGCACCTGCCTTTCTTCAGACTTGTCTAACTTTTACTTTGTCAAAATATGAGCATCTTCCTAGGGGTCAAATAAAGCCCGAGCTCTGCCCACATTGGTTTTTTTTAGGGGTGTATTTTTAATTTTTCCACAAGCATCCTGATCACTTTTACATACATAGGAACCTGTCCTCCTCACCTCTGGGTAGTAATTTTCTGTTCCAGGGAGATCTATCTATCATTCCATTCTATCCCTGACCAGGTCTAGGGCTTGAATATAAAGATCGATACCCAGTTGAGTGGACTGTGTTAGAGGGTCAACAACATCCAACACATAGCACTCTATTGAATGCCTTTTATCTTAACAATTGGTTCGACAACAACGTTGTTATCTTGTTCTGAAGGAGAGGGACCCTCTGGCTCATACCCATACAGTTGTGGTGGGAGACACGGCTGCTCTGGCTAAACATTGCTGCAGGGCTGATCGACATCACTGAACGCTGATGAGAGATTATCTAAGGTTTCTTTGTCATAGGCATTAATATTCGAACTGCTGTCTCAGGGTATACCTGGGTATACGAAGCAAACGCACCGTTTGATCGACAATGACAATATGCTGCTCCACAATTTCCTCATCCACTTTCGTCTGAGAAATCTGGTCAAATCTGGTCTGGTCAAGAAACCTTGGAAAGTCAGACTCCACATTGAAGTGGAGCCTAGTGTCACCTTCATAAGCTTCTATTTCCGTAGCCGGCATTCCAGCCGCCGCCACCGCCATGTTTTTAACAAGCAATGATCTGCGTCACTGAACAGAAGTAGTGAGGGCTCAAAAGAGTTGAATGAATAGTTGAATGTTGAATGAATAGTTGAATGTTTTATTAATTAAAGTTGAATGTTGAATAAATGGTTGAAATTGTTGAATAGAAAATCGAATGGGTGAATAAGGAATTGAATATAAAATGAATAGTTGAATGTTAAATGCGAAGTTGAATATTGAATAACGCGTTGAATGTTGAATATAAGTTGAATATTAAAGGCATAGTTGAACACATTATACAAAACTGCATATAAATTAAACGAATTGAATATTGGTACATTTGGCTTGCCATAGTAATGATGAAGATCTGGGCTTGATTAGTAGTAAATAAAATTAGACAACTCTGTTCGAATACATGTATGTTTCAACATGTCTAATAAAGAGTAAATTTTATTGGTATTACAGTGTACATAGAAATAATATTGACTTCTAAGTAAGTTTATATTTGTTATTTTATTCCGCCTTCTCAAAAAACAATTATTTTGTCTGAACAAAAATATAGATTATAACGCTAAAGAATGAGTACTTTTTCAGGTTTTACGTTATGGTTGTTAGCTTGAGTTTAAATAACATTTTAAACATTATTTTTAACGTTACGTCATCGCCTGTTATGTGAAACATTTTCTCTAAGTGGTTCAACAGTGACTGGGCATTTGATCGTTTACGACCGGTCAGTGGATTCCGGGAAACCATTCCACTACAGTTTCTAATTTAAAATTGATATAAACACTTAAACACTCTTTGTGTTGGTTCTTGTTTCACTCAATGATCCACACAGACTAAGCACAATCCCTTTGTTTATTTCAGCCTTAAAACATCAATTAAATATGTCCGCTACAAACAGTGTGAGCTAGCTAAGTAGGCGAGCCTTACTGCTGCTATGTTGACAAACGCTCATTTTTAGTGACTTTTTTTGCGCCAATGACGATTTTGAATTAAAAGAATTTCTAAAACAGAGTAATTTCGCACTTTTTAAAAATAAATCTTTTTTATTCCCTTAATTCTCGAGGTTATGGTACAGTTGCGACGCGACATTCAACTGATTTTTAAATCAAATACGCGCCAAAGTAGGTATGAACGCTCGACATGTAAATTTTGCAGTCCTTTCTATCCGAAGTAATCGTGATGACGTCACCAGCTTTCAGGTTGAAAATCCCGCCTGCATGCGCAGTACCATGGTCACCTTTTCCTGGGACAGGGATCTGAATCATGGTTATCACACTGCTGTTCACCTTCACAAGAATCCTTCCAGTGCTGTGATGGAAGACCTGCAGGTAGATATAGTACCGTCCAGTGGTGTCCATCATCGAACTTCATACCGCCTGCAAGATGGCTGTACGGGGCACTGACAGACCATTCCTTTATCACTAGAGGATAAAGTAAGAGTGATGTTAATTACGGCTGATTTCCACTGAAGGCACTGCTCTGTTCTGATTTTTTTTTTTGGGGGGGGGGGGGGTGGGGGGCGGGGCGCGCGTACCTCCCATGAATTTAGCATAATTATATTGAGCCCACACTAGGCAGGACCACCAAATATTACCCAGCGAATAGACTTTTGAGTGGGGACCACAATTATTTCTTACAAGCTTTTTGTCCATACTTATCGCAAGACCTTCATGAGAGGAAAAAATGTCGCACCGACCGCGCACGCCACCCGCACGCCTGGGGGGGCGCTCGGGCGAGCACTACCTCACATTATGTAACGAAAAAAGAGAAATGTTTTGATTGTTTTGGTTGTGGCGGTTGAGCCGGTGTTGTTTTTTTTTTGGTGTTTTGTGGGGGTGGGGGGGGGGGGGGGTGGTGGGGTGCGGTGCGGTCTCCCTTTATTGAAGGTGAATAAGTTTTATGAGTTCACCTGAAGGCTGATTAATTAGCACTAACCAAGGATTACATTTTTATGTGGGGTCCTTATTCTTCTATTCAAAAGCTTTTTCGCGGATAATTTTCTCCATTCTTTAAAGAGCATTAAATCATTACATTGCAGGAAAAAAGAATTAACTGAATTTCCTTTTAAACTTACATATCTGAATTCAATCTTTGCATTATCCCTGGTTTATCTCAACCCTGCTTTGTGAACAACCCGGCCCAACTTCCTCTCCCGACTTATCTAGGAAGTTCAAAAGGCCTCTGTTCGCAGGGTAAAATAGGTTAAGATTGCTCTTTTATAATGCGATGAGATAAATAGGACATTACCACATAGACACAAAAATAAATTAACTGCGGTCATTAGAGCCATTATGCGCAACCTGATATTATGAAAGCCTTGGATTGTGTAAAAATGTGCTAAAGTGTCTTTAAACAATTCTTCTGATTACAAACATGTACAGTGTGGTTTAAATTTTCGTTCAGACGGCATTAACTTTCTCAAAATGAGCTACTTGTACATGAGCTTTTTAGACGATGTAATGTCTTTGTTGCTCTTGCCTCGGCTACGTTTCATGCTCTCCAGGAAGGTGGCCTTGCCCCTGGCGACAAATGTTTCGTGAGGTAGCGACCTGCAGTTTGGTTACGTCCCAGGCTATTATCTATTGTTATGAGCATGTTTGAGCAGTAAGTGATCAAAAAGATAATAAGTCATCATTTCATATTTTTATTTTTGGTTGGTACTTTTAAGTTGTTTGTGAAGATATTTCACCAAAACGTTTCATTAAGTGTTCCAGGTTGCATTACTGCTCACATGTTTAAAACTAATCACATCGAAAATGAATTTTTAAAAAGTACGCTTAAAGTAATCGTAAATTACGTGTAAGGTTCTAGAAATGTCTACTTCGGCGAAGATATGGAGACAAATCAAGTCGATCAGATACTGGTGTTTTTGAGCTGAGAAATTGAAAGGTTTTGCGTCGGCAGTTCAAGCTTGATTTATTAACAAGAGGAGGTCAGGGACACCGGCTGGAAAACTGCCTGCCTTATTCTCTTTCTTTACTCTCTCGCCGGCAGTCAAAAATATATCACTACGAGCCTCAGCGCTCCGGAAGTTACCTATGGTTCGCGGGAGAAGCAACTTTTATGGCGGCGCAAGACAAATGTTTCTAGAGGCGAGGATGTGCTCACAAACTATTCACTATGCGACGAAAGGAGAAATCACTGGCGTGATAGCTGCATGTAATGGTAATTTTATCAATCCAGGTCGCGCCGTGTTCGCTCGAGAACGCTGTGACAACCTCGTTTGGCGCGCTTCTCAATACTTCCAAAACATGTTGTAATCGGTAAGTAGACTTAAGCACTTAGTATCGCCAAGCCATTCGAATCAGTGTATACCCAATTCTTTGTCTGAAGATTCT